GGTGTACTGTCTTTTAGACATGAAATGATCTGTGTGTGATTGTTTTTTAGGTGTGTTGTTGAGATCTCCGTCTTTGATTGAGACCAGACCCGAGTGGGCCAAACTCTGATCAGATCAAATCCCTCTCTCAACATATTGAAAACAGGTGGTTTCCGTGTACGACAAGTTCAAGTACACCCACGACACCCCGAGACCCGAGAAGGAGTTCTTCAAGCAGTACCCCGTGTCTCGTTCAAACAAATCTGGGCTCTGGGAGGCGTGGATGTGCGGCGAGTCCCAAGTGTCAATATTTTTTTCAGCGGTGGTTCAGTAGTGGATGAATGATAAACATGGTCCTGGTGGTGGCAACATGTTCAAAGCAGAATATATTTGGACTTTTCCAGATTCTTCCCTGTATGAGTCTGAGGCTCGAGGGAACAAACCCATCAGCAGCAACATCGAATATGTGTTTTTGCCTGTTTTTGAACTCCCTCCCTCTATCTCGCAATTATGGCCGAGTCAGGCCCGTGGCAGTCGTCATGATCAATGGACAGGGACGGCCATATGCGACAATGATTTTTTGTTAATTTTGCTTTCTGGCTAGTTCTGTCAGAGAGTGCTCACACTCAGCCAATTCCAAAATTTGACCTTAGCATTTTCACACAGCGCAGCCATGCCGCTGTCAGATTTGTGGGACGACTACGATTTAGACGAACAACAACAAAATGATGGAGACCAGGATGAGGCTGTTCGTTCTGCACCAGTGAGAGGAATGAAGAGAAGACTACAAACATCAGCAGCTAGAGTGGCACTAGCTGGCAAAAGAGCTTCCGCTTCCTCAAGAAAACCACCGGACACAGAACCAAGTTATGCTCACCGCTTGCAAGAGAGCTTTTTTACACAGCAATATCAGCGTGGACATCACATGCAGCACAGCAGGAATCCACACAGCGCATCTTTCACTGATAGGAAACAGCAGTTCGGGCGAGAAAGGGCCCGGTGCGTGCTGAGTCTGTTGAAGTGCATGCTGCAGACCATACGGAACCTGTTTAGCAGGCCAGTAGTCCATACGGTGAATAGTATCATAGCTGACGATACCAGCACCAAAATGAAATGTGCTTCAAGTGATCGCGCAGTGGTTTACACTGTCATGAACACAGTGGAGAACCTGACAGTCAGATATGATGCTGTGGAGTGGGAGTGCCAGCACATCCCAACACCAGTTGCATGTCTCGAGTCATCGAAAGGAGGGATGCTTCACGCAGCATTTACAAGTTGGCTAGTCACATCACTATCTGGACTCGGATCTCATTGGGAACGACTGGGCCTTCATGCCCATGATTTGGGGTCAAAGTGGCGTACTTGCATTTTGGTCGGGGACGCGTTAAAGGCCAATGACAGTGCATGGAGATTGGAGTGCAAACTTCTGACACAAGCTCGACAAGATCCCAATTCACCGTCCCATAGATCTTTGGGAATCCGGATAAAATGCTCTGTGCATCAGCTCGCACTTATCCGGAAACCTGCCGTGCTCAGCATCGATCACTACTGGACTACACTCGTAAGGCTGGGTCACTCGTTCGAAACATACTCTTTTCGCCGTGCTCTTGGCGCTGCTGTTGTGTCACTTATGCAAAGGGAAGGCCAATTCATACGCACCTTTGATTTGACTCTGGTTCCTTTGTTTGCTTTCCACTTTTTGTGAATGGGCGGGGCGGGAATAAAAATTCCCCCAAAGATCCAAAGCCTACGACTTTTTACCCGTTTAGGCATCAGTGTCGCCAAGTTTCCTCCTGAGATGGAAGCGTGGACCAACAGATGCGAGTGGCTACTGCGAGACTTTGTTTGCAACAGTAGGGCTACCAAGGAATCTTTGCGTGACATGTTTAGAGTCGGCAATGGCGACTCCACTCAGCCAGTGGTCACTCATTGGTGCTTGACCTCCAAAGGGCCTGGACAAGGCCCATGTTGCAACAGCGACGAGGAAGCGCTCATGAAGTTCCTGTCTCACGCCGTGCATTTTTTTGGACGAGGTTATGAAACACCACTACTATACAGGCTCAAGCACTTTGGCCCTGCATCGAGCTTCACTAAAACAGGGTGTTGCTACTTCAATTTGTTGCCACAAATATTGAAGGAGATGGACGTGACAACCCCGCCATCCGGGTTTGAGAATGCATCATTTGTGGATGCTTTACTATCTGATAATGTGGGAGATGGAGACTTGCAGCACCTTTTGGCAGAAGCCATGGACAGTGACAAAAACTTTGCTGCTCAGAACGGGCTCCGAAGAAAGATGGTCACGGAGCACCTCAACCGCCCGGAGTTTTTCAAGTCGAGCATGATCATAGACGCTGTCATTGGTCCCATGGAGTATGGGATAAACTTTTTAATGGGGCATACCAAGATCTTGCATGACCTGGCTTACTTTGGCCGCTGCCATCCGAAATGCGCAGAGTTGCAGGTGCAATCGAGAAGCAAATTCATGAGAGTGATTTCTGGAAAGCTTGGGGAGGATCTGATCAAACGATATGTGAGGTTCCTTGAGGTAGGACTCCTTGAGGCCATAGAGATGGGCCTAAGTCCTACGAAGTCACAGCTTTCAACCATCTTCAATGTGGTTTTGGTGACCATGGCCGACCTTGAGAGACGGTTCAGGCAAGCTTTCCAAGTGCCTCCGTTTACTCTTTTCAAGCTGTGCGACATTTGCGAGACCAATGACTTTGTGCAAGCTTTCTCTGCTTTGGAAGCAAAGTTCAGAGCGTGTCCGGCTTGCTTTGATTTTGAATTCAGTGGTGGGTTGATTCCGCACTTCTCATGCTTGGAGGACAAGAGTCTTGAAGATCAAGGCGCGGCAATGCAGGAGGTCCAGATGATTCTGGAGGACGTGGCCACATGGAGCCCCCGTGACCTCTGACCTAGTAGAAATAAAGAACGGGCAAGTACAATGGGCCGTGTCGAAGAGAGGAAATCAGAACGTTTTGGGTGGGCCATCGCGTATGAGACAACCTTACTTCAGGCAGCAGTCAAGCAGCACAAATGGATTCAAGACGCTGTTGCTTTGGAGAGCCTCCCGCCCAAAAAAGTGGCATCAGGCATTTTGAAAATGTGCGGCACCACATCAACGAATCAATACACAGCCCGTGCACCTCAGCTCAGACTTAGACAAGACCAATGCCATGTTAACCAAAGAATACTCGACACGCACTACAAGACTCCTGACTTGACTCGACACCTAAGACTAAGACCAAAGTTGAAACTGAATTAGATTAGGTTCCAGACTCCGGACTCCCAATACCCGATTCCAACTATCATCTTTCCCGTCTTTCCCAGCTAAGGATCGTTGCAATAAGAGGAGCCATACTACACGAGAGTCCCAAAGTCAGAAGCAGCAGCGGATTGAACGAGCCAAGACAAGGAAGATTCGATCTATTTGCGGTTGGAACGTCTTTCAGAGACAGAACATGAGCAAAAAGACACTCACACAAGATGAGTACAAATCGGAAGTGAAGGCCCTTGGGGCGCGGTGGAAAGCATTGTCTGCTGATGAGAAGGCCGACTTCAATGGTTTGGCAGCTCACCAGCAAAGCATGCTGGAAGAGTTGGCACACAAGCCACTTCCAACCAAGCCAGAAAGCGGCATTGCTCCCACGACCGATGAAGCCGATCAGCTGGATGTTTGGCGCAATGCTCAGAAGAAACGCTCTGCACGTCGTTTGGACATCAACAGTGAAGCCTTTGAGCGGCATCCGATCTGGGACTCACCAACTCAGCTTGGAGACAGTCTTTCGGTGACAACATGTCCAGTCAGTCATTTTCCTTTTGTTAAAGAGGGAAAACGGGAAACTACTACTACTCCGAACCAGTTGTCAGTTGCCTCTTATTTTTGAACCTAGGCCAGGGAGCCCTCAAAACAAGCATGATTTGCGTGGACAGCACCGACAAGGATATTGAAGAATCTTTGCAGGCAACTTTGCGCAAGCGACTGGATGTCAATGCCGATGCTGCTGCTTGCGAGATAGAGCCTCACAAGAGCCCATGCTACAGGTTTCTTTGCCGAAAGCACAAGTTTTTTTGACATCATACAAAAGTTTGTCGGAAGTTTTGGCCGGCAATTGACGCAGAACAAATTGAGTGCTGGCACGCTGCTCCTTTTTTCCAGTGAGCAATGCTCAAGCTCCATTGCCTGCTTCCTTGGAGTTGTGATGAAGAAACCGCAGGAACATATGTTATTGGAGGCAACGATAGTAGATGCAGAGATACAGGAAGCATACCTTGCATTGAAGCATGGCATCCCACAGATGCATACCTCCCATGAACTTTTCCTGATGTTTTTTCCAAGAGCGAACCGGCGACGAGCCATTGACCATCACAGCAGAAGCATGGAGATGCGATGCCTTTCTGGATGGTCATCAGTTGAAGACAAATCCAGAGGAGAAAGTCGCCACATTGACAATGCTTGAGCAGCCAGCTCGGAAACAGAAATCCAAAAAAAAAACCAGTCATCAAGCTTCCATTTGGCATTGAGGTAGTCCTCCGAAAGCGAAGGGTCAGCAAAAAGCAGAAGACGGCTGCCGCTGCTCAAAAAACAAAGGCAGGCAACAAGCCGAGCCACTTCACAGCTCCAAGTGGACGGGACCCCAGACCGTGGCAGTGACACTTCTGTGGGGGGGCTCGGAATCCTCCTCTTCTGAAGAGTGTTCTGACCCAGAGAAGGAGAGTGAGCGTGTCGTTCCTGCATTTGACGCTGTTGCGGCCCAGGAGAAGCAGTTGGGTGGACTTGCAGACGAGATGGATAGCATAGACAGACTAGCGCAACAAATCGGAACCAGACTAGCAAAGCCTGAGCCGTCCAAAGTGCCAAAATCTAATGACAATGTCAATTCCGGCAAAGCCAGCAAGCGTCAGAGTGGCAGCTTCTTCAATTCCGAGATTGGGCTGTGTGAAGCAGCTGTGGCAGTGTCGGCCAGATCAGTTTGCTATCACTGCAAAACCATTATACCAAAAGGACTGACTGAAGGGGTTGGGTTGAGTCACTTGTCCGGTTTTTGTTTGGTGTATGTTTTGTCGACTTGGGCCGGACCTAGATTCTGTGGCTGCAAGTGATTTAGATTTAGATGATTTAACAGACTTAAAGCAGGCAACAGGCGGACATGACAGCGATCTCAATCCCAGAACAGTTTTTTTGAGAATAAGACTTCGGGGGGAACTTAGGGACTTTGAGGATACTTAGGGCATGGTCTTGCGGAATACTTACGTACAGCATACGCTTGCCGTCCTGTAAGCCAAGTACTGCAAATTACTGGAAGATGCTGTAAACTTTGAAGGAGCAATTCGGTTCTCGTGGGCGTATTCGACAGTGCGACCAGCTGCATGGGTCCATTCCTATTGCTTGTGCGACCTGTCCAGAGCCAACCATTTGCTGAATGCCACTGCGAATAGGTTGAAAGAGATTGTTGCAGCTGCCACTGAAAATTCAGGCAGGGCAAGCTCCTCAACGGATCCCCTGCAAAGCGTCATTAACCCAGAAGTGCTTGAGACGTGTCAACAAATTTTGAGGTCCTTATAGGTCCTTAGATGCCTAGTCCAGCGCGTGACAGTGCCTCAAGTTTGGAAAGATGCTCAGCTGAAAGCTGAGAGAGTCCCAATCATCATTAGCCATTAGACTTTGGCATTTGGTGCAAAAGAGCCGCTTGGATTTCCGAGGCCCTCCTTTCTTTGGGGTTTTCTGATGAGTGGTCATTGCCAGGGCCAGGGGCCAGGGGTGGTTTGCCATGCTTCTTTTCCTCAGTCGACCTGCTTCCTGCCAAGGCACCCATCGACTTCATGTTGAGAGGTAGGACTGCAGACGGAGAGTTGATCGGCCTGGAGACCATCGAGGGCTACAATCTCCAGATTGTGCAGCTCGAGTGGCTCGGACAGGCCATGACACGAAGCGACGGTCCGTTTTGCAGTTACAGTCACAGATCTACCTCTACCTACAAACAGTAGACAGTTGAAAGTTGAAATAATATAGCTGCATCATTCGTGGTTTACTGAACGTGTGACCACGTCTCGTGCTTTTGACTGTCCACCAAAGGCCAAAGGTATTCCCATCGGTGTCGGTATCATGCCAAACATTGAGTGGGAGGAATGGACAGCTTGTACTTTCAACTCTTTGGTTTTTTGAAATGTAGACTTAGACTATGATATGATGATGCATGAAGGATGTTCAAGGGAGTGCTACTGTATCAGGGTTTCAAGATGTTTCAAGAATTCTTTCCTGCACTTCAAACGGCGACTGAGAATTGTTTACTAAGTCGGGGAAGCAGACAGATCTTGGTTGCGGTGCTTTACAATGGTTGACATTGAATCATGGTCCGTGGTGTGAGTCTGAGCTCAGTTGGTGACGCCAAAGAAGCTTAGGAGTGCCAACTTCGGCGTGCCCCAAACCAGGGCAAGGATGTACATCATCATGGTGGACGCAATGCTGATTGATTCTGGGGAGCTTCAATCACTGGCTCACATCATTTGCCAGGTTCTGCCGCAGAGCATCCCAAAGGAGGGGTGCCGGATTGAGGATATTATGAACTACAGCTATCATGTGTGCCAAGCTTTTGACCAGACTCCTCATATGCCCCCGAAATCCAAAGACACTTGGGCAGGTGTTTTGCACAGTGTTTGCCAAAGGTCCATGTTTGACACAGCTTTAAAGCACTGGCAGAACATCCTTCTTTAATTTTATATTAATAATTTCTCACCTCAGGCCGGACAGAGAAAAGGTCACTTCTACGCTGAGATTTTATATATAGTTCAAGCATTTTTATATATAGTTCAAGCATATTTATATATAGTTCAAGCTTTTTTATATATAGTTCAGTAGGCCCCCACAATGTAGAGTTTGCATTCTCGGATTCCGGTGGCCACTTCCAGAGGGCTTTTTTCGGGTTTCCGCTGAGGATGGAAAGACCTCTCTCAAGGCTCAG